CTGGTAGCAAACATGCCAGCTCCAGAGGGACTTTCCGATACGAGCATGCGGTTGCTCGGCGTCTTTTCAGGGCAAGTATACATTTACTGCGCAGCCTTGACCTTTGGCCAGCACTGGTACCCAAGCTAATATTTTTTCTCCGTGGCATGTCATAGGGTGGTCATGGGCTTGCTGACAGCTGACTATGACACATCGGTCGTGCTCGGCGTGGCTCTGCTGACTCTGACGCTGACCAAGAGCTTCATGTGTCGGACGGCTGACGGACGGCTTGTGGAGTGCGACAAGTGCCAGACCCAGTTCGTCGACCGGCACGGGCACTCGCAAGAATACCAGTGTGATGGGATTAGTGGTAGCTTCGAGGTAGCGATCTCAGGGTTCTCGAACAAAATCGCGTGGCTCGTATTCAGTGCTTTCCATATTGGCAAGGCTGTTGATAAGACCAATCTGGGCCGCCGCATATCACTAGCCCTGGTGACAACCATGGGCAAGTCGACTGCCGGTATTGCCTACGCTATCTGCTTGGCGGAGCTGGCACTGGCACCATTCATCCCGTCAAATACTGCGCGAGGCGGTGGCATCATTTACCCAATCGTCGAGTCAGTCATTACATCGCTAGGAGTTGACCGGACGATGGGCGAGAATCCAGTGGGCGGATACTTGAGCATGGTTGCGTCGAATGCCAACCTGATATCGTCGTCATTGTTTGTGACAGGCATGGCAGGCAACCCAATCGTAGCCAGCAAGGCGGCCAGCATCTTTGGGATAGAATTCGGGTTTGCAGAGTGGTTCATGGGGGCAAGTGTGCCGATGCTCTTCTTACTGTTCATCATGCCGCATGTGCTGCATCTGCTTCTGCGGCCCAAGCTGGACGTGGCCGGGCTGGCGCGCGAAATTCGGCGGCAACACCTGGTGATGGGCTCTGTGTCGTTCAACGAGCTAAAGCTGTGTGCTACACTGCTGCTGTGCCTGGTGCTGTGGGTTGGCACATCGTACTTTGCAATCGATGCGACGGTAGTCGCTTACATGGCTATCATGGTCCTGATCATGCTCGATGTGCTCAGCTGGTCCGATGTGGCCAAGAACAGCACCGCCTGGGACACATTCTTTTGGCTTGCTTCGTTCATTGTCTTGGCCGAGCAATTGACAGCCCTGGGTGTCACTGACTGGATCGGAAACTCTCTGTCGGACTCCCTCCATGACACATCGCCGCTCACCAGTACCATGACGCTATCGCTCGTATATTTCTTTTCCATGTACATGTTCTCGTCTATCTCCAGCCATGTCGTGGCATTTGCCGGTCCCTTCTTCGCTGCCGGCCATGTCCTCAACTGCCCTCCTCACTTGCTGGCCATAATTCTCGCCGTGTTCAGCTCCACTGCCGGTATCCTGACACCATTCTCGACAGGCTCTGTCGCCATCTACGCTTCCCAGGGCTATATCTCCCAGCCAAGGTGGTTCCTTCTTGGTCTGGTAATGTCGCTGGTCGTCCTGGGCACGACGTTCTCCGTGGGTTTGCTATGGTGGAAGGTGCTTGGCTGGTACTAAGCAATATATTCAATAAATTATTTTACACATACATAGATGTGTTCGTTACATGCTGCTGTTGCACGTCGTGCAGTTGACGAGCGCACTGATTGCGGCTATGCCTAGTAGACAATAACAGTAGTAGCCCATTTGGCTCCTTAATAGACAATTATTTTCAAAGATTATGAAAGCGGATTTTTGGCTTGAATTTATAGTCGCTTGGCCGAGTGGTTTAAGGCGGCAGACTTAAGTGCTTTTACTAAGCCTATGAAATCTGCTCTCGTTTGAGATCGTGGGTTCGAACCCCACAGCGACTATTTGTGCCATCATTTTTATGGGCGACAGTAGTCAGAACAATAGGATTTTTTTGCCGAATTTGGAAATATAGCGCACTCTACCACTGTTTTCTTTCTAGAGCGGAATGATGCGAGGCAGTGGGCGCAGTGTGTGGTAGAGACCCAGCGACGTTGCCAGCACGAGCACAGAGTTGGCCTGGTGCGCCGAGGCTAGGGCAATGGGTACAAAGTTGACCAGGGTGGCAATGCCCAGCGCAACCTGCAGCCAGGCAGCTCCATACATGCTGTGAAGCACGCTGCGCGACGCCCTTGGCAGCGGCAGGCAGCGGCCCTGCCACCATAGCGCCGATAGGACAAAGAACGTGGACACAGCCAGGATGCGGTGCTGGAGCTGTACGGTGGCGGGGTTCTCGGTCAGATTCCGCCACATGGCAGACGGGTCACCGCGTGCAAACGCCTTATTCCACAGCTCCTCCAGCGGCGGAGTAATGCCGAGCCCCATCTGCGGGAATTCATTGTAGATCAGACCGGCATCGAGGCCAGCGACCATTGCGCCTGATAGACACGTAGTGCCGGTCAGCACGACAGAGGCTGCGATCTTGCGGCGGAACTGCTGGATAGTTGGCTTCAGCAGCAGCGAGCGCAGGGCTTCGGGGTTGGCAATCTTGTTGCGCAGCATGCGGTTCGCACGGAAGGTGTTCCAGCCGTACAGGGACAGACCGGCATACAGCAGGTATGCCAGTGTCAGGTGCGATGTCAGACGGTACTGGCTCACCCGCGGTACAGCGTCTGGCCGCTCACCCAGCTCCTTCTCCAGACCAGATGCCACCATGTACCAACCCATGGCACCCTGCCCCAGCAGTAGCAGACCCAGACCACCGATCTTAATAGTGCCCGCGCGCGTCACCATGCCACGCGACACAAAATACGCCGCCGGCAGCAGATAGACAAGACCAAACAGCCGGCCAATGTTGCGATGGAACCACTCCATAAAGTAGATCCGCTTGAACTCGTCGAGATTGATGCCGATATGCACCTTGTGGTACTCTGGGAACTGCTTGTACTTTTCAAACTCTGACTCCCACTCAGCCTCGCTCGTCGGCAAAGACGCGCCCGTGATCGGCTTCCACTCGACAATCGACAGACCAGACTCTGTCAGTCGCGTCAGACCGCCCCACACGATGATTCCAAACACCATCGATGCACAAAACAGCGACCAGTATCCGACGATCGGCGCATCCACCGTGCGCTTCGCCTCGCCCTCAGTGCTGTAGCTACGCTTGAATGCATTGGCTGGGATCTGGCGGAGAATGCCACGGGCCGCCGAGTGGTTCTTGGATGCCTGCAGGAACTGGGCACGTCCGATCATAGCTGGTACGCGGTTGACCTTGCTGGTGCTCAGGTGCCGTGCAAACTGGGCGCCGATGGATGTGAGCGGCCGATTGATCTTGCTGGCCAGCATCGGGCTGATCTTGCCTGCGAGCAGCGTACGCTGCGAGGCGCGGACAAGGCTGGTTGCCAGTGTAAACGAATTCATGGTTTAACCCTTGAGTGCGCTCGTTGAATCTGACCCGAATGCCTATTTTGAATCAGGCTGCGAACACGAATATAAAATTATATGAGAGCTGGCGGGAGGGAAGGGTAGGGAAAAGCTATGAAGCGTGCTT